CGCTTCAGCTCATGTCACTTTCAAGTGCAACACCACTTTTATCGCGGTTCTTTGCATGTTTTTACGAGTTCAGTTTTACTCATTCACTGTTTCAGCTACCATCTTTCCCGTTAATGATGAGTTTTTACCCTCATCAATTATGCTCATATCTTCTTTCCTTACTCTATTTCTCTTCCTAGCCCTTACTTTCTCCTCTTCATAGCTCAACTTTACAACATAGAACTTGACTCATAATTGCACTCTTTTCACCCAAAGTTTGTTTTCCAAATGGCACTGTTGAAGCGTGGGAGAAATACCTGGGAGGCCATGGGCAGAGCCACCAGATCAGACTTTTCTTGGAACACTTCGAGGGGCTATCCGCAAAATGTTTGGGTGAAACGCTAGACGTTGTTTTCATCTCAAAACAAATCGATCGTAAAAAAACAAATATGACTAACATTCCATTCCTGGGCACCTGTGAATTCCTATGAATGGGAAGAGCACCTTCGAGCTAATACCCACTCTACCTCTAGCACGAGAACTCTTGCTGAGCATGAGCTCATTCAGAGCAAACGGCCATCTTCATCTTTTGAGAAACCCTTCAATGGTTTATTCCTAGGTTCTGTTCGAGAGAAATGACGCAGTTCCCACTTCAATTCTATCGGGACAATCAATATTCAATCCTATAAAACAAGAATATCAAATGTATGCTAATACTGATGTACCCTCCGTTGCAGTTACTACTGTGCGGATAGTCCAGTGCCAATCGAACCTCCATCGACACCACATAACAGGTTTTACAGGTTTTTCCATTTAAAATCATTGATACTTTTGGGTTTGATAGGGGTGTAATAATTGGCAACATGGATTGTCTTCTACAGTATTGGAGATGATTTTCACAATGAATGATAGCACATACTTCTTGATAAGCACTTTGTATGGGCGCGAATTTAGGTCCTCCCATTCAATTAGCGACTAAAAACAAAAACAGAGACTGCAGGACAGCTTAACCTAGGGGGAAAGGTAACCTCAAACTCTTGAGACTATCAGGGCACCTTCGTTGTCACACACGGAATTCATTTCCACTTTATTGGTATTATCGTTCTAATGTCATTTTTTCACATCAAAAGGGAACGAGCGTTATTATGTTACTGTTACTATTATAACTGTCATTACTTATTACTACTAATATTATCAGGGTTACTATTACTGCTATTATTGTCGATATTGTCCTTATCGCTCTGGAAGGACTGAAGTCTGAAAAGATGTGTAAATCTTGGTTTTTTGTTGTGAGAAACCCAAATTTAACGTGTGATTCCTTTCAGAATGTACATAGTAAAATACATAGTAGGATAGTACAAATGCAGAAAATTTGAATAAAAGTCATAGTGTTAATGTTGCTGCTGAATAGGTCCGTTTTCTATTGGTTGAAGAGATGAAGCAGCGAATAGCGAGCTGTCGTGGCACGCACCGTAAGTGATGTGTAATAAGATTTCTATGGTACAAGCTGGATTGAGAGAAATTTCCTATTCACGAGAAACTTGACACGTGAAATAGCGATGGAGGAAGTGAAGGATTTTCTCGTGTATTTTACCGAAATCACTGCTTTTCGCGAGTATTATGTTCCGATTTCCAGCTAGTCACATTCCGTGCAAAATTTTGATTCTTTGAATCAAGACATAAATTTACAATTTACGTTGTGTGCTGTCAGTATTACTCTACGTTCTTCCTCAGTATCTACGATCCACGAGAAACGATGGTCTTAGCTGGTACTCCTCCACCGGATCGCCCGCCTCCACCTCCACCAGATGAACCGATTCATAACTGTAATGGGAGCTATTTCGACGAAAGCACTATCATAGTAGGCTTTAATATCTATGAATTCTTCCTTTTCATAAGTACTCGTCCTTTACTGTTGAGTATCGAGTAATCGTAATTTGTTTACTCATTAGAAACGCTTCTTTCTGGCATTGTTTAGCAGTCGGACGATGGTTCACACCCGCCACCACTACCACCAATGCCTGCTCCACGTACTGGCTTCCCTGTGATCAAAAGGAATATCATCTATGCAAAGGTATACAGCATACACCATGTACTCGTGGTGTTACTTTTTAAGGATTACTATGTTACTTTTTTACTGACTTCTTAACGAATGAGTGTACTCAAAGCCACATTCACAGCGAGGGTGCTTTTTCTTTCCAGGGTTGACCTGGCTTTCTTCCATGATTAAACATGAATACTCTTAGGCTTAGTGGTTATTGTAAAGTGTAATAATAGGAAGTGTGAGCTAAAACTGTCTTCAAAGAAGCTTGAAAGTTAATCATGTAATTTGCAATAGAAGCGGATGGGACCTGAGTCCGATAGAGGTACTCAAACATGAGAGCGTATCGATAAGACCCCGGTTACTGTAGTACTTGGAACTCTGTAATAACTTTTTTGTGAACGTTCAATATCAGATATGTACGGGGTACGGTCAAATTCACTCTGCAGCACAATAGTGCGGAAGCCGCCTGGTTGTGAAATCATGTACAGAAGTAAACGATTTTCCGTTCAGGACCGAATCAGTCAATTCGATGGTCTGAGCACAACAAATAGACCAAAATCAAAACAAAACGAGGAAACCCATCAAATGAAAGATTTTTTTGCTCGACGCGACAGTTCACGTTTTCAACCGTACAGTTATGCTCCACTTACTGAATCGAGTACTACTGCCACGACAAAGGTTAATATAACTCACTGATTAACCAGTATTGACATAGTACTTCTTTACTCAAGTAATCCCTTAACTTTTCAGTCGAACTATGACGAATATCCTATTTACAACCCAGTTACTGATTATACATTCAAGAGTGGTATGACTTTTCAACAAGGAGCCTATCCCATTGATACGGTAAGAGAATTTCCAAAATCTGAGGTTTTATTTGAACACCATACATTCATAAGTAAACCCTCCAAAAACAAGGGGTGGCGGTACTTCTCCCCGAATCCCCACGGCAAGCGCCAGTGGCTCTTCGGCGACTACTGTATCCTCGAAATTCGAAGCTTTCCCTTCATAGCGCGCGATGAAGTGCGGCGAGCGCGACGCGATTTCCGGGGAGAAGTTACCACATCCAAAAGTAGTATGAACACTCTTCCTATAACCTCTAACTTTACTAGTTCAGACCCGCATCAATATCGGTTTCGTTGGACGGCAAGGAGCTGGAAAATCAACGTTGATAAACGCCATACGAGGTTTGACAATGAGTGATCCACAAGCTGCCGGTCGTCACCCTTGCAATCACATGGAACCATTTCGGTATTTTCTGAGATCTCAGCGTATCACCCAATGATACTTTCATACAGTTTTTCAAAATGTAATGTTCTATTTCAGATTCATGGAAGAGGAATTTCAAAATATGATCCTTTGGGAAATACCGTACCCCCGTGCTTTCGTTTCCGTATCCGATATATATGACAGGAACATGGGTTTTGAACGATTCTATGAGTAAGTAACTTCTCCTACCAGTCAATTTTCGTCTTTAACTGTAGGGACTGCTATAGCACGTGTTCCCCAGTAGAGGTCTACTCAGTGCTTTGCTTACTTAGACGTTTTCAGATCCCATAAGTTGAACTTATTCCGACGTATCTTTCTATTGATAGCCGACGGTGCTCCTCACGATGACGACATTTCCTTTGCCAGAATTGTGCATTCAAGGTAATACCATACATTGTAGGCAGTTTTACTTACATGCTACTTACGTATCATGACAAGTATAGGCATGGCTCCAGTGCCAAATGCCAGCGCTACCACACGTCCGGGCACAGGATCAAATACTTGGCACCTCCCTAGAACTAGCGGTCGTTCTCTGCGGGTTGGGTTGTTGGTTTTAGGCTCTCTTGGGCTCATGAGTTTCAGCCAACCCGCGAAAGTGCAGTTTTTCAAGTTAGCTCGCCATATGAATACTGACCATAAAAAGGACAATGCGATTCAAGCTTGAAGTCAGACAGTGCAGCGCATACCAAAATAGGATTAATTTCCACTAACTGACTTTATGACCTGCTTGTTATGTCACAGAAAACCTACTTTCCATCACGGTTTACTAATATTTTACCGG